TGTTTTCTCTTTCTCACGCCAGCTAGAGCAACACAAACTGTACGGAGCTGATTACCAGAGAGCACGCGGGGTTTGCCAAGTGATTCTTGTCTCGTACAGATTAGAAAAGTCCCGTTTCTTTCATTATTTCGATTTATGCTGAAAGGGAGCTATTTAAATGCTTAATAGATTGATGTGAACCAACCTAAGATAGGTATCAGAGAGTCAGTATGCATTATTCTGGGTTAGCTAATCAGAAAGAGGATAGCATTGCTCAGGTGATTGGTTAGGACGGAGAACCAATCAAGATGATTGAAAACGATCCAGTCGACCAATCGTTTTTGTATTTATTCAATTTCATATTCTCCCTCGTCTTTTTAAATGAGCATTGCGCTTTGCACAAAAAAGGGTTTCCTGCACGCTTTCAGCTGTGGAATCTTTTCCGAACGACCAGCGTTATCGAATGAATTTCGTTTGGGAGGCAAAATCTATTTATGCAAGAATCGCAGGAATGGTTCAGTTGCATTGTGAGCCGGCGATAACCAACGCTTCGCATGACCCACGTTTATAGTAGGCTTGAGGTTTTGGTTGCTCACCCCATATAATTTATGCCTCAGTCTGGGGGCTCGAGGCGTTGTACATTTTCGGGAAGTTTAAACCTGAATTTGATTGTGTTCTTGTCAATCATCATGGATGTGGTGCACACTAGTTAGGCAGACTACCAGGTGGAACATGGTGATTTGATGTGCTTAAGGAGCATGCTGTTGTTGCTTAATCGACCGGAAGCTCAATTATCAAACATTTCAGGAGCATTAACTGAAGCATCCACGCGTTGGGTGAATATATGGACCCTTAAGACTTTGTATCCAAATCCACCAACTCTCATAAAGCGGTGTTTCACCACCATTGTGGTGTGATTTACGGAAGATTTGTGTTGTTTTCAAACATTGCGTTCTTCGGTTTCGTGATAAAAATTAAGTACATAAAAATGCATCGGTAATTCTTGGTACATTTTATGCCGGGGTTGATTTAAGTGTGAATAACATATTGATGGAGATCAAGGTATTAATTTTTCCGACTATCTCATGAAAACTTGTATGGATTATCATAATTTTTAAAGGTTTCGTTTAACATTCATTTGATGGCACAATCAATAACACTCCTTTCGATTTGTCGACAGTGCTTACCACATGTTTGAGGTCATTACTATAGAGTGACCCTAGAGACCGCTGTTCGAAAGCCTACAACCACTGGTGACCACGCCCCACCCCTGATATCTTTATGATCCAGACTGTTATATTAGCCGTAACCTTCTTTGTGAGAACTGACAGAACAATTCTATGCGTAATCCACATACGTCTGAGGCCAGACCGTGCCAAACATAATAGTATATATTATATGTTTATAAATCGAATAAAAGTTCCATGATCTGCATGTGGGAGGAATACTGCCAGGTGGTCCAGGCCAAGGCAGATGGGGACTTCACAACCAGAGCCTTCGGCTAACTAAAGCCTGACCCACAAGACAGCGGGATGGTGTGTGGAAATCGTAATTCATTGGGGGCTGCTGTCCAATTCATCGGATCATACGCCCTTCGGACGGGATGTAACGTCCAAGGTACCCAAAACACCAATACAACTCTATAGTCAGTATACATAGAAAAGGACACAAATGGGTTTTATTATCAATAAATGGAAAGCTTAGTCAGATATCGATCTTTGTTTACATCACCCTGAAAATTCGAAATGGCCACTTTCATTAGTTTTGAACATTTGACCATGTCGAGCAGAGATTTTTAATTAATTATATATAATAATGTCTATGATGCATTTTGGAATCCGGGCTTCTTAATCATGTCCTGGTTGAAATCATTCCAGTTGACTAAACCTAGTTCGTTCGGGATGGATTTCGTTCAAATAATCTGCATTCGCCACCGGATAAAATTCCGTTGTTAGTTTGTTATTTAAGTGCAAATGACTAAAATTGCATCCGCGGTTACAAAGGGTAATTTACGGTCTTTTATGAAATCTATTCTTGAAGCTTCTGAGCATTTATTCAGATTCTACGTTTAAAAAAATGCTATCGGTCATTCAGACGCAAATTTTGGCAGATTCGTCGCAATCCATCACGAAGGTGAGTCTTCACTAGTGGTGGCGCTTACTGAAAACATTTTTCAGTAAATATGTTTTTCCCTTAGAGTATCCAAGATTGATATTCTAAAATTGGTTGAGCCATTCGCACAAGATGATGACCATCGACCGTGTAGCTCAGGGACACACAGAGTACGCACTGCTGACGAATCACAAGCAGGACGAAACAGCTGTCCAGCGCTCCTTGTCGGTTATCACAAACGTTTCTATCGCATTTAAATGTTTTTTTGCTTTTGTTTGGTATTTGTGCACAGCTGGGTGTAGAACTTGTCTTTAAATTCAACAGCTTATTTAAAATTCTTCCGAGTTAAAGGTGATCGGACAAATGTTTGGAAACCGGGACGAAATTTGCTCATCCCCGGCGGAATTGATTCCAAGTGAAACGGTTGGGGCATAGTGCTACGAGCGGATGAAGCATTTGTCTGGTGACCCTAGCCTACGGGATAACGCCAGCCACGGAACGACGCGTTGCGGTTTCTGGGCAACTGTGAACCAACTGTTTCAGATGATGCCAGCAAGGCGTATAAACTTCACAGTTTCTGGACAACGCACCATAGACCAATAGTGTTGACCAATCAGAAGTCGTGCGGTATGGAAAGAAGCTGTATGAAGTCAAGAATGCAAACAGGCCATGGGTGGATACATGTATAACCACTAAACTTCCGGTCGACCTGATCGACAGTCAACCCCTCCAGCCAAACATCGCAACAATATACTGACTACTGATAAGTAGCATGAGCGCGCTCAAATAAGAATTTGTAATGAAGGACTGGAAAGTGAACATAATAATAATAATAATAATAATAATAATAATAATAATAATAATAATAACAATACTAATGATAATAAGTGAACATATAATGTATTAAAATGAAAAACTAAGTGGACAAATGATATACAGATTAATCGACGTGATAGTGTTCACTAATGTGTTTTAAAAAGTCTCTATATCCATCTCGATGTTTGAGGGTGAAAAGTGCGGAACTTCGTTTAAATGGTCCCACCTGTTCTCAACAGAGCAGGAAACTGCCTTCAGTCTCTTATTTATCCTGCTCCGGTAGCCATCAACGTTATTTGTGTGGACCCCCAGCATTATTCGTCATTGTATGATCGGCAAAAGTGTCCTTGCCGATCAGTTTTCCACTCATTAGAAGTATCCCTTTCCTTCTATCATACATCCAAAACCAAACAGTTTCCGATGATCTTCAATGTCCATAATCACACTTGTTCACAACGGTTTCATATGTTTCCATAACTATAGTAAAGCAGTTTGAACGAACAGATTTTACTTTAAGAACACGTAACACTGAATTGTTGACCATTCAGGTAAGCGGCACATGCTGCTCGCGAACACCTCAGAAATTTCCTGGGCGAATTATGCTGTTTAGCGCAAAAAAATCGGTGAAAAATAAAAGCAATTAACGTAATTAGATATGGTATTAACACATCCATATTTGGGATTCTTATTTTATGTCTTTCACGGGAAACATTTTCCTGTAGATTTATTTCAACTAGACAACGTATTAAAAACGTTTTCCTCGGGGCAACTGTCAATCAGGTCTACCAAACATCCTTTCTACATGCTATTTAATCCCATTGAGTTCTTTCAATAAACGAACTGCAACTTTTGTGGCCTTTTCCTGCGTCTCGGAAGCCAGTGTACAAGTGCTAGTGCAATTTAGCGTTTCACTTGCGTCCGTGATTTATAATTAGTATTTCGTGATCTGTGCCTACTTCGAATACTACAATTTAACACAATCATAACATCCAGTTGGCTGTTATGAATGATCCACGCGGTGACACTCATGCACAAATGACGAACTCATCAATCCAGTAATTTGATTGTGATTGGCCTGTCTCCATTTGATATTGAGTAATCACTTTTTTGTTGCAATTCTGTTTTTCACTCGCGTACTGGAAAGGCTAGGATACCGCTTACTTTTTTATTTATTCGAACAGTACATCATGGTAGACTGTTGTGATAAATTTCATCAGATATCGTTGATTATATTGATTGAGAGTAGAGAAGGATGAAATAAACACGTTGTTGTTATTCTCACCGAAACGCATGGAAAACGGGACTCGTTTGCCATCGTTTTGGTCTTTTGGTCAACACTTTAAAGAAGCCTTGTAATTCCTACACGTTTATTATACGTTATTTGTCAATATATTTGTGTCCCTGTAGTGACTCAAATAAACGTATGCTCCCATTAGAGGTATGAGTTCCCTCTCTCTCTCTCTGAATCCTAGAGTTCGCGGTTTGAGCTCTGGTAGAGAAGCATATGACCCACTGAAGATAAGTAATAAGAAGGAAGAACCGATGATTTATTGCCCCTTATCACCCAATTACATAACTTTCTACCAAATAAATGAAGAGCTGAAGTTGAACACATTTTCGGGGTTTAGCCCGTGCAAGAGCAATCGGAATGATCAGAAGCTTC